GGACAATATCTAGATTTCAGCTGACAAGTGGCAAATAACATTCATGCCACACAAATACTAGGCAATGACCATCTCCAATAAGAGAGAAAATCTTACCACCACTGCTTGACATTACCATTGCTGAATCCCCCACTATCAACATCCTGGGAAGTTACCACTCACCAGAAACTCAATTGGACTTGCCACATAAGCACAGTGGTTACAAGAGCAGGTCAGAGGCTATAAATAATGCAGCAAGTAACTCACCTCCTAACTCCCCAAAGTCTGTCCACCATCTACAAGATAAAAATCAGGAGTGTGGTGGAATACTCCCCATTTCCCTGATGGTTGTAGCTCCAATAACATGCGAGAAGTTTGATGCCATCCAGGTCAAAATAGCTCCCTTGATTGGCACAACATCCACAAACATTCACTCCCTCCACCACTGACGCTCAGTAACAGCAGTGCGTACTTTCTACAAGATGCACTGTAGAAATTCATCGAAGACACTTAGACAGCACCTTTCAAAACCACAACCACTTCCATCTAAAAGGACAAGAGCAGTAGATATATGGGAACAGCACTCCTGCAAGTTCCTCTTCAAGCTACTCTCCGTCCTGACTTGGAAATATATCGCCGTTTCTTCAGTGTCACTGGGTGAAAATCTTGGAATTCCCTCCTTAAGGGCATTGTGGGTCAACCCACAGCACATGGACTGCAGCGGGTCAGGAAGGCAGCTTACCCCCACCTTCTCAATGGCAACTAGGGGATGGGCAATAAATGGTGGGCCCAGCCGGCAAGGTAAGGTTGAAGGAGCTGGGCCTTTATCAACAGGAGCCTATAAAAACAAGGTGATCTTATTAAACACAAGAGAGGAGACAAGACAGTGTGGATACTGAAAGGGTGTTTCCCTTTGTGGGAAGAACTGGAATGAGGGCGACAGCTTTAAAATAAGAGGTGGCTCATTTAATACAGAAATGAGGACGCTGTCTTCCTTCTCCTTCAAGTGCTCATCCAAGGACTTTTTAAAGGTTGTGAGGTCTCCTGACTCAACTCCCCTCCCAGACAGTGCACCCTCTAGGTGAAAATCATATCGCCCAAATCCCCTCTCATCCCTCTAAACCTCACGTTAAAATTATGCTCTTTCATTATTGACCCTTCGACTAAGGAGAACTGTTGCTTTCTATCCACCCCCCTCAATCTTACACTCCTCTGTCAGGTCCCAACTTCAACCTTCTCTGCTCTAAAGAAAAAACCCGAGCTGAAATGCTCCATTCCAGGCAACATCCTGGTGAATCTCCTCTGCACCCCCTCCAGTGCAATCACATCCTTCCTATAGTGTGGAGACCAGAACTGTACACGGTATTCCAGCTGTGACCGAAACAAAGTCCTGTCCAGCTCCAACATCACCTCCCTGCTCTCTCAATCTGTGCCATCACTGATAAAGGCAAGTGTCCCATATTCCTTCTGAACTCGCCGATTAATCTGTCCTGCCACCTTCAGGAATGTGTGGACAAGCACCCCAAGATCCCTCTGTTCCTGAGTTTCCTCATGTCCTGCCATTCACTGAGTACTCCCTTGTCTTGCTCCTTCTTCCAAAGTGCACCGCCTCATAGTGATCCAGATTAAATTCCATCTGCCTCTGATCTGCCCACCTGACCAATCCGTGTATATCATCCTGCAACCTACGACCCTCTTCCTCATTGTCAATGACCCGGCCAATCTGCATGTGATCCACAACCTTAATCATCATCTCCCCCACATTCTCATCCAAATCATTGATGAATATCACAAACAATAAGGGACCCAGCACTGATCCCTGAGGTACACCACTGCACACCGGGCTCCAGTCATACAAACAGCCTGCTACCACCACCCTATGTCTCACTGAGACAATTCTGGATCCAACTTTCCAAGTTACCCTTGATCCCATGAGCTTTTACCTTCTTTATCAGTTTCCCCTGTGGGACCTTGTTAAAGGCCTTGCTGAAATCCATATAAACTGCATCAACTGCTCTACCCTCATCTGCACTCCTTGAAAAATTCCACCAGATTTGTTAGGCATGACCTCCCTCTGACAAAGCCGCGCTGACTATCCGTGATCAAACCTTGCCTCTCCAAGTGCAGATTAATTCTCTCCTTCAGAGTTTTCTCCACTAGTTTCTCTACCAGTTTTGCTGTAGATGTGCATGAAAGTCGCTGTTCCTAGTATACTTTGGCCAGATGCTGCCGTATTTTGCACACCATCTTCTTCCTTTCCGTAACAAATTTAAACCATACGGTGTTGTGGTCACTATCATCAAAGTGCTCTCCCACTATCACCTTGAACACCTGTCTAACTCTGAATGAGGGTGCAGGGGCTGGATGGCCTATTGCTAGTCTTCATTTGTACGTCTAAAAAGCTAGTTTCGGCCTCTATTAGCATGATGACTACCATCGATTGATCGAAAAACCCATCTGCTTCACTAATGTCCTTTCAGGAGGGAAACTGCCATCCTCACCTGGTCTAGTCTTCACATGACTCCAGACCCACAACAATGTGGTTAACTCTTAACTTCCCTCTGAAATGGCTAAGTGAGACACTCAGTTCAAGAGGTGATCAGGAACAGGTACAAACAAATGCTAGTCTTACCAGTGATACTGATGCTGTAAGAAAAGATAAATGAGTGAAAGCTCACATTACTATCCCAAAGCAACAAAGCAGGAACTGAGAGCGGCGGGGAGAGAGCGGAAGGGAGCACAAGTGAGAGAGAGATAGCGAGCATGCGAGGCCGAGACTGATGATAGGGAAGGTGAATGTGTACTTTGCTGAGTGAAACACAAGCGCAAGCCATGGTGCATTCCTGCCATTGCAGAGCCAGTCCTTACCTGGGAGACTGTGCAAACTGCTGAGCGGCGGTTACTGCATCGTCACTGCTCGACACGAGCAGGGGAACTTTGTTACATCCTGGCTGTTTCAGGACCAGCTCCAGCTGTTTGACTGTGCGATCAATGGTGGCCTTTGTGCATAAGTCGACCTTACTGATGACAATGAAGAAGGGCACTTTGAGAGCCATGGCCAAGCCCAGGTGCTCACGTGTAGTGCCAGCTGTAGACATGAAGAGACAGTGAGGGTCAATGAGCCAACAGTGCTAGTGTTTTCAAACACAGCAGTATTTGACCAGATCATCACATGGACACGTATAGAATCACCCTGCAGAGGTCCCTGAGCCAGTGGCGTTCCAGAAACTGGCAACACAAGGAGAAACACCTCAGCAGTCTCCCAGCTGCAATAAGTTGCACTATGTCAAAGCACTGAGCCCCTGTGAGCACTTGAACCAGACTGACCAGAATCCAAATCTCTGAGGCACCAGCCGGCCAACCCTGGCAAATGGAACACAGAATGTGACAATGGAACAGGAACAGGCCTCTGTGCCCACCAAGCCTGTTTCAACTTGATCTTCTACTTCAGCACCATTCTCCTGCACCATCCTGTATCCCTCGGTGCTTTTAACATGCAGAAAGCTATTGAACTCTGTGTTGCATATCCGCTGCCTCTGGGACAGAGCATTCACAGGTTCACCACTTTCTGAGGGAAGGAACTCCTGCTTAAACAGTCTGCCCTTTATCCTGAGCACGTTGGTTCTACCCCCTACCCCCACCCCAACCAAGGGGTGCATCCTTCCTGCAATTACCCTGTCGAGCCCTGCAGAAACATTCTAAGTTTCAATGAGATCCCCACTCAATCTGACTCTTCAGACTGATGCTGAAAACCCTTGCTGCAGAATACTTGGAGTATTGCGTACAGTTCTGGTCACCGCATTACAGGAAGGACGTGGAAGCATTGGAAAGGGTGCAGAGGAGATTTACCAGGATGTTGCCTGGTATAGAGGGAAGGTCTTATGAGGAAAGGCTGAGGGTCTTGAGGCTGTTTTCGTGAGAGAGAAGAAGGTTAAGAGGTGACTTGATAGAGACATACAAGATGATCAGAGGATTAGTTAGGGTGGACAGTGGGAGCCTTTTTCCTCGGATGGTGATGGCTAGCA